TGTAGTCACAGCACTCAATCCTATCATGCAAAGCGATGACCAAAATACTACTTTTTATTTTTGCGTCATTCTGAGTCAATTCAAATTGGTTCATCCCTTAGATTTTTGGGATTGGCATATATTCTACGTATATACTTGTTGCTTTCCAACCATATTTAACCCTTTTTTGTCTTTCCAAAGAGCAATCTAGTTACTAGAGTAACCAGAATCGTTCGATCTGTTGCTTTCATTCAACTATCAACAAAAGTAGTAGTCATGTTTCCACAATATGACTATTAAATAGATTTGCTTCTCTTGTATTACAAGCATGCTTTTCAAGACAAAACGGGTTTCTGGAATTCTTCTTAACTGAGAGAATAAACTATTTGACAAACTTGGAAAGCCTGTATATTCGTTATGGAGTATTAACTTTGTGATATCATTCATTATTAATGCATAGAAACGATTTATGTTTTCGGATGTTCCCACAATTGCAGATGCTTTTGCTTAGTCTACAGTAATTGATATGGAGCGAAAATGCGAAGATTCGCTTGAAGGATTCCCTACTCTGAAGAAATGGAGAGCTGATTTTGAGAGTTTGGATGAAGTGAAGGCTTATTTGGCTTTATGATAGAAATGATTGATTTCTATGTTCTATGATATCACAAATGTGTTATAATGTTGTGTTGTTTGTTGAGACCATTCTATTTATAGACAATATCATTTTGAATCTACAAATGAACAGCAATGGTTAGTTCCTCAAACAATCAGACAGACAATTCTTTATTCTCATTCCCTCTATTTTTTGTTTTCCTCATTTCTTTCACCCTCTTCATTCTGGTTTCCTTCCTCTCCGTCCTCTTCTTCACCCTCTTTAAACTGCTTCAACGATTCATTTAGCAAACTCATAAAAGCATAATCCTGCTTGTCCACAGGATATTCAATATCCTCCTCAAGCTGATGCCATCGGTTTCTCTCCACAGGATTGGTCTTATATTCTCGAATCAGCACGCTTTGACTCTTCGCTTCATCTGCATGCTCCGGTTCACCCGCCAGATCTCCAACGCCTTCATATTCCTCTTCCAACAGATCATGCAGCTTCTGCACATTCTCCAGTGTCACTTTCAGCTTTCCTTCCTTCGTCAGCACTTGGTCCTGGGCAATTCTCAGGTTTCCGTTCTTGTCTCGCATCGACTCCCAGTCCACCGAAGCGCCTCCCGTCGGGATTTCTTTCATCCACTCCTTCATTACAGGGACTTCGAACCAATTCAAATCCATGTAATCCTCTCGCAGCGAGTTCGGAATGCCCGCGTAGAACTCTGCGGCGCTCAGACTTTCGATTCCTCGCTTTGCTGGCTCTCCCACAGTGAACTGCGTAGCAGCCGGATCGGTGAACAAGCGATGGTTGTAGCCAAATCGGTCGAATCCATCGTTCACGTCACTATGCGTGTGGACATCGCGACCGAAGTAATCGGTGTCAGGAAGCAACTCCAGGTCTTCGTTGCGTCCGTAGTACTCCAGATTGCTGTCGTCTGAGAGGTGATACAAGTCGTAGATCTGCTGGTTCGAGGCTTCTGAATCCATGATCGTCTCCAAGATGCTCTGGCGCAGCGAACGCGCTTCATTTACGAATTCGCGATTGGGATCGATCAGAGGAAGCTGGCGGAAATAGAAAATGATCTGATCCCATTGCTCGTGGGGCTCGAAATACTCTTCGATCGCAGTTAAGACAACGTAGGGATCCGCACAGTCCAGCTCCAGCGCGTTCTGGAACAGTTCCTCGGAATAGTTGAACTGTTTCTGCCTCGCTGCCAGCACGGCCTTGTCTACCAATAGACGAGGCATCATATGAGTCGCTGTTTCATACGGTTCGTCATCGTCATCTTCATCATCGCTGCTGTCGTCGCCTGCTTCTTCCTCGTCCACTTCTTCATCAGCGTCTTCTGCCCATTCCAATCGACCATCCACCACTTCCACTTCGTCTTGGTATTCATCTATCATTGGTTACGATCCATCCACCCATCTACCGATTAGAACGTCGAGTAACGTGCTCGCCTCTTCGTAGTCTCCACACTCAATACTCATCTACAGAATACAAAAGCAAGGCGAGAATACGCGAATCACCGACCGAGCGAGATCATCCGTCGGCGTAATCTCGTATGCGCGACGGAACATTTCTTTGGAGAGCTCAAACTCGTTCATCTCCTCCAAAAACTCCGCATATTGCATGAACAGCATCGCGTTGGTGGGAATTCGCTTCACGCCCTCTGCATAAATGTAGTTCAACACACGAGGATCTGCGTGGCCTTCGCACGCAGACAGCAAATACTGGTAGGTGAGCACAGAATCGGGCTTCTTCGCGATCTGCTCCTGAATCGCAGCGAGAGCTTTGCTTCATCACAATTCCACACTCCTCACCTTTGTCGTATTCCTTGTTGCGAAGCAAGGATTCCACGAGATGAGCCGAAATCACGCGCTCTTCCGGGAACTACTCTCTCACCCAGTCTCCAAAATAAAACTTTCGCAGCGGCTTCCTGCGCGAGTTGCTGGTACAAATCGAGCAGCTGGTGGTCTCGCAGGTATTGCAAGTAATACTACGCTCAATGCACTCGCCCATCGCTACGTTCCACGTCTGCGAATCGCTGTTCGGCTGGTCGACGGCTGCTTGAAGCAGCTCCAACGCGGACGATTGGCTGTCGGTGAGTTCGGTGAGTTCGGCGAGCATCTTCACCGCTTGGGGCTGCGCCGAAGCGTCCTGCAAGGCCTGCTTCATCGCTGCGGCCGAGTTTGGGATGTCGTTGAGGAACTACGCCTCATCGAATTCGAAGAGAAGGGCACATAGTAGTACTTCGCGAGCTCGAGCTGGAGAAATCCGGTACCGGGGAGCGAACTGCGCGCCTGAATCGCATGCTGCAGACTAGAAATAGAGAAGGAAGCGAAGATGAGTACATCAGGATGGCCTTCTCGATATATCCATCGTCCAATTCGCGACGTGCCCAGCTCTATCGCTCGTCCGACCCATCCAATCGTACCAGAATCACGTCCAGTTTGTTCGGAGCGAGTTTGACCGCTTGGGAGAATTGGTCACGCATCACTGCTCGCTGTTCTCGCGGGTCCAAAAACAGCAACTCGTCGAATTGCACCGGGGCTTCTTCTGTCTGCTCCCTCTCATTCTCATCGTCTTCGTCTTCGTTATCGTTGTTGTCATCATCGCGTTCGTCGAATAGACGTGTGGGATGTGCATTAAAAGACGACGAAGGGGATTGTGGCTTCTTGCGCAGAGCGGATTTTCGATTGCGAATTCGCTGAAGAGCGCGCTGGTACTTCAGCATGGATTTGAAATCGCCCTAGAACTCAAACCATCCAGGGAAAGCGTACTGCAGTCTTTTCCAACATGCAAAGATCGGCGAGAATCCCAGTGTGGAGAGGATTGGACTTGAACACTGCTCTCGATACAGAAAACAAAACTTACGTTCTCGTAGGATCACACGCGCCTCGTCTATGCAGCCTGCTTCGAGCTCCAACATCGCACAGGCTCGCAAGTGGGGAATGTCGGCACTTTTCTAAATGACACTTTCATTCCACGCGTTACAGAGGTTCGAAGATACAAACGAGAAGAGCGCAAGCTGTCGTTGAATTCCTCCGTCATAATCTCCGCAACTCTAGAAACAAGGAAAAAGAAAGCTTCTTACTCATCATCATAATTGCCATCAGTTACAAGCTCTCTGCGTCGGAATGTTGCTTGCATAGAATACGGAGAACTACTCCGCACTCTCGAAGCAACTCCTTTCTCCAATCCCTTTGCTTCCTTTCCATTCCCATTGCTATTCAAACCATCAAAATAACGATTCGAAGTGCTTGAAAACAAGCGAGAGTTCATGGAGAAAGGGGATGACATGGGAAGAATTGGAGACACGTCTAGAACATTAGGAAATAATGAATTCGCCGTTTACTTATCGTTTGAGTGATGGCTCTGACAGATTGGATCAACAATCTCGATTTTTGTATCGTCCTAAGCATTGAACCTCAGTGAAACACTAAATGACAACGAAATAAACGTAATGTAAGAGAAAAGCAGAAAGACACTACAGAATATGGAATGAGAAATATGCATGGAGAAATACTATAGATATTGTCTGAAGTGAAAACAAAATGGTCAAAATCAATCGTTCTACTTATTATTATTGCTTGCTAATAGGGGTCAGAGGTAGAAGATGCAGGAAGTGAGTTGGAATTTGCTTTTAGTGATGTTTTGAGAATCTCGTGAGTAATTTAGGAAAAAAGTGTTGAATCGGGTATAGAACGATTGAAAAGAAGTGTTCTTTTATATGTCGTTTCTCATGGTTGAGCCAATTTGCTCATTTTTAAGTATCGATCATGATTTGAATGCAGAAATGAGCTGCAATCACTCTGGTGGAATCTCAATACACTCTTTCTTGAAATAGCATCCACTTCACTTTCTGCTTTTCTTTGATGGAAAACGTCTCTCCTTACTCAATGCAATAAGGTAGGTTCACCACAAAGCGTAACTTCATAATTCCCTATTCGAACTCAATACCTACTTATTTTGTTATAATACATACTCTTCTCTCTAATTTTCTATTCTCCTGCCTTAATCCCTGATCTATCATCATCATTAACAATGCAATTTTTGTGAATAGACACCCTTTTATGTAATGATATATCTGGATTACCAATATGGTATAATAATCTGTTTGTTTCTCCAAACTGAAAATAGTGTTTCAGTAATAATGTTTTGTCAATTCCTTGTTTAATCGTACGAAATAAGACTACTCGATTCTCTAGGTGTCCTATTAGAAAGAAATGAAGCAACGAAACATCAACTCTCTTCAAGATAACACTGGATTCTCTTCATAGAACCATCCTTAAATAATATCTAATTTCGGTATTCCTAGCAATTTTCAAAAACCGTTCTTCAGGGCGTTTCACAGAGAAATGACAAGAAAATAGGTGGAAACGTAGTAATTCACAGATTCCACGTTTCTACAAATTGATATCTAGCAAAATATTTTCTTTTCATATGTTCGCTTCTCGTTCTGCTGTTGTTGCTAAGGCTTTCACTCGCGCTATGTCCTCTGTAATTCTTGCCAGCGTCTTCTAATCCATAGGGTGCTAAGGTTTCCGTGCTTGGAGCTGCCGGAGGTATTGGCCAGCCCATTTCTCTTCTGATGGCTATGAATCCTCATGTTTCGCGCCTTTCTCTCTATGATATTGTTCGCACCCCTGGTGTTGCTTGCGATCTTTCTCACATTGATCACCCTTGCAAGGTGGAGGGATACAATGGACCTGAGAACCTTGCCAAGGTTCTTGATGGATCGGACGTCGTTATCATTCCTGCTGGAGTTCCCCGTAAGCCTGGAATGACCCGTGACGATTTGTTCAAGACCAATGCCGGAATTGCTATGAATCTGGCCAAGGCTTGCGCTCAGTCTTGCCCTAAGGCTTGCATCTTGGTTATTTGCAACCCCGTGAATTCTACGGTTCCTATTTTCTCTGAGACCTTCAAGAAGATGGGAGTTCATGATCCTCGCAAGATTATGGGAGTCACTGAATTGGATTCCGTTCGCGCTCGTAAGTTCATTGCTGAGGCTCTGGGTATGGAGCCCTCTGCTTGCAACATCCCCGTGATTGGTGGTCATGCTGGTACGACCATCATTCCTCTGCTCAGCCAGCTTCCTGACAACAAGATTGCGAAGTTGGATGTGCCTTCTCTGACTCACCGCATCCAGTTCGGAGGAGATGAAGTCGTGGCTGCTAAGGAGGGAGCTGGTTCTGCTACTCTGTCCATGGCGTACGCTGGAGCCACCTTCGCTAATTCCGTGCTGAAGGGACTGAACGGAGAGAAGGGCATCATCGAGCCTGCTTACATTGAGCAGGACCTGTACGGATGCAAGTTCTTCGCCAGCCAAGTGGAGCTTGGAAAGGACGGAGTCGAGAGACCGATTCCTATTCCTAAGAACCTGACGAAGACGGAGGAGGCCAACATCCAGGAGGCCATTCCTGCTCTTCAGAAGCAGATTGCCAAGGGTATCCAGTTCACTGACGAGAACTTCAAGTAAATCGTAATAGTTTTGGTTATGTTTTTTGAATGTTTGAGGTATATAATAACAATGGAGCAAAGATTTTGTCATGTAATATGGAGTTAGGAAAGGAGGGTTTGCAAGAGACTGAACAGGTACCTATGGAGTATGAAAGTGACAGTTTGGAGCAATCTACGCTTCTTTTTGAGATCGATGCTGAAATGGTATTTTCTGCGTCTGATGATCAGTATAACGGCGATTCCATATCCTACCACCCTTCTGAATATGAGAATGATGTATTAGCTTTATTACGGGATCTTCATGGAACTTCTCCATCTGAAAAGGATCAAGCCGATGGAGAAGGATTATCTGCCGAAGCGTTTCCAGATTTAGCCCCTCTTTCTGAATTACCTGTTTTCACACATGATGAAGTTTTTCCAATAGACGGAAGTCAAAGTTTGCGCCTGGATACGAGAAGTAGTCCAGATTCCAGTGAAGTTTTTTCGATCTCTTGATTTTTAGCACAGTACTGTTCTCTCTTCTGTAAGAAGAATTGCGGTGGAAATTTTTTCACAAATCCCAAGGATAGTTCTTCGAAAACATCCCGTATTTCGTGTTTTCCCGAACTCTCAAACGTGCACTCTATTCCCGTACCCTTTTTGCAGAGAAGGTTTGATAGGAAATATTTTAACGAACATGACCTCCATGTTTCGTGTATCCCTACCATAATTCCTCAAATGAAACAAATCACCATGAGGATCATTCAGCACTTGGATATTGTGCATTACGAGCAGGCAACGGATGAAATTATTCTTGAGTTTTTGGAAGAGTTGTAGTCCTTTACAGTCTTTTTTACTATTTTTGAATTAGTATTATTCTATGATTATTATTGTTATTATTGAGATTTCTATGACTTTTCCCTTTCATCCAGTTTCTTTTTTTTTTATATATATTTTTACATCAATTGCTTATTGATACTCAACTTTCTGCTACATAGAGTTTGTTACAAACACGGATATAGTACAAATGCAACTACTGTTTGGATGACCATTCTTTGAATGAGCAAAGCATGTTGACGACATTTCGTTTCTTCTGCTCATCACTATATCACAGAACCGCTGACGAACGTACATTGCAGATCGCCCTTCGCACGCATAACATGTCCAATTCCCGTCCAGAATATTGCCGCAATGCTATATCAGAGAGAACATCCAAATATACCAAATGCGACTTTCTTCCGCACTTCCCATTACATTCGATCAAGGGGTACTTGGCATAGGATGTAGCCCCACAAAAAATGCAATGATCCGCACCTGTATGGTGAACAACACACACAGCACATACAAATTTCAAAAGAAGTAGAAACATCCTTAGCTCGAGATTCTATTTCCGAAAAGCAAGAGTTCCATTTTGACGTATATAGAGCTATCCATCAATCAGACCAAAAAAACGAACCGTAATCATCTGGTGTTGTGGAAAAAAATAGAATAATGTTGTTCCACATCAATTCGATATCAGAAACAAAATCCTGAACACAGTAATAAACCGATCCTTGGATTTTATTCCGGATCATCGGAATGTCTATATGGTACCGTACAACATCGAAATAATGGGGCCACTCTACGAATTAACAAAATACACAACAAGACTCACTACGGAAGTAATCAATGGAATGGTTTTCAATAAATACGCTCGGGATTTGGCTTGATAAAGAGTCAAGAAGCGAATAGCACCAAACAACATTGTGTTTCACAGACTCTGTATTACTCTTATTGACGTCTGTGACGAGTGGAGCATTCACAAAGTAGGGTCGAGAAAAAGAGACTGATAGTCCATTCATTGTCTAGATAACTCGAAGCATTTCAAAATAACAACTTAGCAAAAGCGCAGAATATCAGATAGAGACGACATGCAACATAAATGAGTGCCATGATGAATTCCACAAATACCACCAAATTTGAAGAAATTCTCCAACCCGTTTTTGTGTCAGATAACCATTAAGGGTCGCTTTTTGGTGCACTCCCTTGTTGTTTGTTGGTTTAGTGAGTTTGATAACGCAGTTTTACCGAGTTATGTCCGCTGTAACGGTATGTGGCGCGAGAGGCATCCGTTATCGTCTAGACATCTACAGAAACAACTTCGAATCAAACGGAGAACACCGCTCCTCAGACACGCGAAGAAATGTTGGCCGCTCTGAAGAAACAGGTATGCGCTTCTTTTTCGCCTCCTTGACGCAAAGATTGAATATTACTTCTCTAAAGAAAATCTATCGAAAGACTCTTATCTCCTTTCCCTCATGGATGATTCCGGCTATGTTCCTTTAAAGACAATTTCGCGTTTTCACAAGGTCCTTTCTCTTAGCAGCAATATTGACGATATTATGGAAGCCCTAAAGAGCTCTGAGAACGTCGTGGTGGACGAAGTTAGCAAACAAATCAAGCCTGCGATTACTTTTGAACGTAAAACAGTCATTCTGCGTGACGTCCCGGCCGAGGTTACCGAGGAAGAGGTCCGCGCCTTGTTCGACGGAATGGGCGTTGTCGAAAGTGCCACTAAAGAGTTTGAAGGCACGTGGTTCGTCGTGATGGAGTCGGAGGCGGCCGCCGTCGCGGCGCTGGAGCTGCTTCGCCAGCGTTCTCTCCACGACCAGCCCGTGAAAGCTCGTCTGAAGAACGAGTCGTACCTGAAGAACCTCGTGAAGATGCTGACGACCTCCGAGGACGGCATTCCCGCCGAATATCTCCCGGTGGGCCAGTCGTACTTCATGAACTTCGGCGGCCAGCCCCTTCTGGACTTCCAGCAGAGCCAAATGTTCGGCCAGAACTTCGCGGTCCAGGCGCCGGCGACCGGCGTGCCCGCCGAGAAGTAGAAGAGACGGAGGGAGAGTGAAGCGTAGGCGCGGCCGGAAGGGCCGGAAGGAGTTCAAGCATCGCGAGCATCGTCCGCGAGCCGTTTCGAAGCCGAAAGTGGTGCCTGCGCTGCAGAGCGCGGAGATTTTCCCGCCGCTGGTGCCGACGACCGCTCCGGTGGTGGGGTCGATCGACGTGAAGTACTCGTACAAGGAGATCTGCGACATCGTGAAGGGCGTGAAGGATCTGTCGTGCCCGCCGATCGCGTCGGCAGGCGTGGAGTCGGCGCTGGTGGAGACGGCCAACCAGGAGCTGGTGCAGAAGGGACGAACGTTCAGTATCGACCAGGCGCTGCAGCGAGGTGAGAGCGAGGGGCGCGCGTGAGGGGTAGGATGTCCGCGAACGATGTCGGTGGACAGCATCGACTACACGTCCATGCTGCAGGGAGAGATGGACGAGGCGGTCGCGGAGTCGGCTCGCAAGGCGCGGCGCGAGAAGAAGCGCGCGATGAAGATGGGCGAGCGAGGCGAGGCGCATGCTCGCAGCTACCGCAACATTCTTAAGAATTCCCCGCCCGTGGGTGAGGCGGTCGCTCCTTCGACGAAGCCTGCCGCTGTGCAGACGGTGAGTGGAGCCAATGCGGCTAATGCGGCTAATGCGGCTAATGCGACTAATGCTGCCAGCACTACCACTGGTACCAATGCTACCACTGGTGCCAATGCTACCACTGGTGCCAATGCTGTGAGTCCTGCAAGTGGCACGAACGGAGCGGAGGGAAAGAAGGAAGGGAAGCAGCATACAAAGAAGTCGCAGAAAAAGGCGGCAGAAAAGAAGGCAGCGGAGAAGAAAGCAGCGGAGAAGGTGAAGAATGAGGAGGACGGATGGAAGACGATTACGGAGAAGAAGCATTAGAGACACTCATTGTTTATTCTTTTAATGTGTGGAAGAGTTTGATTGTTTGTTGGTCAAACCCAGATTCTGCCGAGAATCCGAGTATTCGATCCTATAGTAATTTTCCACGATGGAATCGGAGTGGTTTCATTATCAGACCATTCATTTTCCTCACTTTTTTCCTAATCAAACAGCATGTCTCACCGTAAATACGAATGTAGGTCTGTGTTGGAGTACTGTGGAGCGATTGTAACGCGTGTGTAGGTCCTCGTCATGGACACATGGGTTTCCTTCCTCGTAAGCGATGCACTCACAACCGCGGTCATGTGCGCAGCTTCCCCAAGGACAAGGCTGACCAGAAGCCTCATCTTACCGCTTTCATGGGATACAAGGCCGGTATGACTCACATCGTGCGTGTCTTGGACCGTCCCGGAAGCAAGGCCCACAAGCAGGAGATCGTGGAGGCTGTGACCATTCTGGAAACTCCTCCCATGGTCGTCGTGGGTATTGTGGGATATGTGGAGACTCCTCGCGGTCTGCGCACCCTGACCACCGTGTTCGCTGAGCACTTGGATGACTCTTGCAAGCGCCGCTTCTACAAGAACTGGTACAACAGCAAGAAGAAGGCCTTCACGAAGTACGCTGCCCGTATGGCTACGGACGAGGGCAAGGAGGCCATGGAGCAGAAGCTGAAGAAGATCGTGGACTACTGCCAGGTGGTGCGTGTGCTGGCCCACACCCAGATCCAGAAGCTGAAGATCGGTCAGAAGAAGGCCCATCTGATGGAGATTCAGGTGAACGGTGGCAACATGGAGGAGAAGGTGGCGTTCGCGAAGAGCCTTCTGGAGAAGGAGGTGAAGGTGAGCGACGTGTTCGAGCCGAGCGAGATGATCGACACGATCGGTGTGACGAAGGGTAAGGGCTTCGAGGGTGTGACCACCCGTTGGGGCACCACTCGTCTTCCTCGCAAGACGCATCGTGGTCTGCGTAAGGTGGCTTGTATCGGTGCCTGGCATCCTTCGCGTGTGCACTTCACCGTGCCTCGTGCGGGTCAGAACGGATACCATCACCGCACCGATGTGAACAAGAAGATCTACCGCATTGGAGCTGCGGGCGACGCCAAGTCCGCTTCCACGGAGGCCGATCTGACGGAGAAGAGCATCACTCCCATGGGAGGCTTCCCTCACTACGGAGAGGTCAACAACGACTGGATCATGGTGAAGGGAGGTGTGATGGGATCCAAGAAGAGAGTCATCACGCTCCGCAAGTCCCTCCGCACGCACACTCGCAGATCCGACCAGGAGAACATTGTCCTGTCCTTCATCGATACCTCCTCCAAGATGGGTCACGGAAGATTCCAGACCACCGCCGAGAAGGCCAAGTTCTATGGAACCCTCAAGAACTAAGAGAGTCGAACGATCGATTGGGAAATAATTGTTTGTTTGAAACGGAGAGAGTTGTTTAGTTTTGTGATGGAGAGGAGAGGGGGTGGTTCTAGCTTTGGTGTTTATCACTGATAGAGGAGAGAAGCACAGAACATCGTGCAACAATCGATTGCTGGGAATATCGCAATGGACTCCAAATGTCAAGTGCTAACGTAGTATAATCCAGTGTGATAATTAACAACGTATAAACACTTGAAACGGGCAGTAAAAGTGGCTAATATAGTACAAGTAGATCGTTTTCGTTGTACTATCGACTTCTCAAAAAACATTGTACCTGGACTATTTTGGTACATGCTCATTTTATTAAACTACACAACAAAATTCAAAATAGTTCAAAGACACAAATCTTTCATTCAACATCCACAAAACAATATTAATGCAAAATACTCCAAAATGCCTACCAATTATAATTTGGTCAGATCAGCGATTGCAGATTATCTTCAAGATACATTTATCATTCAAACTGTTCAAGGACGTTTAGATGAAGAAATGAAAGTTGATGGCTGGATTTCACTCATTCTGAGGAACAGAGAATGTATAATATTGAAATTTTGTAACGGAATATTTATGAATGAGGTATATATGCTAAATGATGATAAAGTCTTGAAAGCGTTTTGTAACGACAGTTTCAGTGATAGTTATTGCTGTGTAAAGCGTTTAGAAGACGGTATTATAGACTTAGATCACGGCACAAGATTTGAAGGAAAAGTTTTGTATGGAATTCCATTTGGATATGGTAAAATGTATGATGATGATGGAATATTGGTGTACAAGGGCATAATGATCAATTGGAAACGATTTGGATATGGAACGAGCTATCATAATAATGGAGCGATTGAATATGAAGGATATTGGTGTGATGATAAGCGATTTGGAATTGGAAAAGTGTATGATCGATCAGGTAAATTAGTGAAAGAATGTGAATGGTATAATGGAATTGAATTTGATATAGATAAGTATGAAGGAGATGGAAGAAAACCACTGAATATTGGAATGAAACATTTGAAACTGACTGACAATTGTGTATTGGCAGATTGGGATGTTTCATTGTTGTACAATTTGGAATCAATCGAAATAGGCAATGAATGTTTTGAATCAGTGAAAACATTCAAAATTGATGGATTGAATCGATTGAAAACTATCAAAATCGGAAACAATTCTTTTACTCAAAAGAGGGATTTCTTTGGTAAGAATCGATCGAAATCATTCCACGTATTGAATTGTGAATCATTGGAATCGATTGAAATTGGTCGATATAGTTTCAGTGATTTTGGAGGAGACTTTGAATTGAGGAATCTACCACAATTACAAGCCATTCAAATTGGTCCTCTAAATCAGGATTCGTTCAATTTCTACTCAAGTTCTTGCGAGATTAAGAGTACCACAAATGCAAATGAAATTGAATTAATAGATCTTCCTTGTCTCAATACGATTCATTTTGGATTTGGTGCATTCGCTCTTTGTAGTTCAATCGTCATAGAAAGTAGTAGAGTGAATTAATAATGTATGTATAGACTTAGTTAGATTACAATCGATACAACTAGGTGAATATGCACTACAGGGAAACAGAAATGACTCTTCGTTATCACTAGTAATGAGAAGTAGAAATGGAATAGAGAGTAATCTCAAAATAGATCTACCTTCTTTACACAGTATTAAATCAAATGGATGGAGTTTCGCCTATTTTTACGCCCTGACCTTCAGTGGTATGTTTCTATGAATCTTGTCATGACATGGTTTAGATATTCCAAATCTTGAATATGTGGATTTACCTTTTTCGTTTGAACAAGTAAGAAACAAATCGTTTTTCAGTAATGATATCTCTTTGTGATAAGTATTAGGAGTATCGAATGCTTTGTCTGGTTGTGTTGCGCACATTGTGTCTGATGTATAATGTATTATTATTAAAGCATGCAGTTGCTGGAATTACTTTATGTATTTCTATATCACATTAAGTTCTTTGATTTATACTTTGAAGAAACAATCTGTTATTCATCAATTCTGTGGTGTAGTTTATGTCGACTAGCAATCATTAAAATTGTTCAATGACTCTCAAAATATATGGAATTGATTTTATACCAAAACACATAGTTTTTGCGAAAAAGAGCACACTGCAAATCCTTGATTTCTGAGAGAAAAATAGGAATAGAAAAACAAGGGGTGTATGATATAGTTTTCTCGCCTGTAATATATGCAAAAACGGCTTCACCTTCATTGTTACTATTTTCACATTTCTCACAATTGCTCTCATAATTCATTTATTCTTTTAAGATCGCAATTTGGGAAGGGAAATCACAACCGAAAACAGTGATATTGATCGTACACAAGTAAATCTGATTATCTATCGAATAAATAGCAGAAATAGTGAGCATTGTTTCTTTCATACTTGATAATCGAATACCATGAATCGATCCATTATAATAATTGAAGTCATTCCAGGAGGAAGTGAAGAACCATTGGCTTCTTCAATCTCCCATTCTGTGAAACTATTTTTGCTACAAAAAATATCTACATGATCTTTACCAACTGGACAATTGTGGATACTTTGTGGATACGAATAGTTTGTGGGTATGAAAGGCATTTCAGTGATCATCAAGTCCCAATCAGCTATATAAGGGTTGTATTTTACATCATTATCTGGTTATTTGAAGCATGGTAAGTGAGCTTGTATTGGTTATACGCTACTTGATTGAAATACTCAAATTATCATATTGTTCTGAACTCCAATGATGCCATTGTTGTTAATCCAGAACTTCCCAAGCAACTCCATCGTTGGAAGCAGATATCGTCCAAAAATAACAGGAATCTAATTTTCTGTAGCTCGTAGAACTTACATTATACTTGTTAGCGATCATCTGATCATTATCACTAAATCTCCAGATGTGAAAAATGGATAATGTGTAATCATTATATAATACGGACCATTCTGTTTAAAAATGTCATCAAATATGTTTGAGTATTTCAAACTCGGATCTTCCCAATAGCCATCAGTGCATTCATTCAATCCATTCGAATCGACAAGGAAAGAGTCATCATACAGATACATCACTGAACAATTAAAATACTCAATCATAGGAATTGATTAACTTGCATGTATCTTTACAGCATTTACATAAGTATCATCTTTTGGAACAGGTAAAGTCGCTAATAGCTGAACATATTGATGAGTCACAACATCAGAAGAAGTGCCCTGTGTAGTAGGGGTAATGTCACCTAAAGGCATGATCTAACGAATCAGCTCTTTTCCATTTATATATACAACAGTACCAGTATCCGTGGTGAGACAAATATGAACACTGTTATTTTGTCCTTAAATAATTGTACTGAAAGTAGTAGGAAAATGGCGCATAAAGCGCGAAAATTTTTTCGGCCTTTTTTCTGCCATTTTTTTCCTGACCTCCTTTTTTCTACCTGGCCTCCTTTTTTCAACCTGGCAACCTTGATGGCCATGGCGCATAAAGCGCGAAAATTTTTTCGGACCTTTTTCTGCCATTTTTATTCCTGGCCTCCTTTTTCGACCATTTCCTACCTGGTCACCTCGAGTACCATGGCGCATAAAGCGCGAAAACCTTTTCGGCTATTGTCTGCCAATTTGGTTATTGTCTGCCCTTTATA